GATTTCCTGAGAATATTGAATGAAACTTGAATATTTTGAACGATTTCCTGAGAATATTGAATGAAATCTTGGAATATATGGAATGAAAGTTGCCCCGAAAGAATCATAGGTAATGTAGTTTCAAAACAAATGAATTAATTTGTGTGCAAGCATGAATTAACCTAATCAGTGTATAAATAAAAACATTGTGAAATAAAATCCACTCAAAATCCCTTTTTTTCCCTCACTATAGATTTAGGTGATCTGATTTGGCAATTTAAGGTGGTCGTTTAAGTGACCAGACATGGAGATGTCTGCATTTCTGCCTTTGGAAATGGATAACAGACGAGGGCAACTAGAAGGAGTTGGGAAGAACAGGGTGGGGGGAGCGGAGAAGCTCAGACAGAAAGAGGACAGAGCTTAATGTGGAGCAGAGTACAGCCCCTGGAAATGACAAAACTGACTGAAAAAATTATTCGCAAATTCATTGTTGAAAAAATATTTTGGAATTCATTCAATATATTCCACTTTCATTCCATATTCTCAGGAAAAAAATATTCAAAATATTCAACTTTCATTCAATATTCTCAGGAAATCATTCAATATATTCTAACTCTTGTCATTATATACTCTATAATAATAATTTCCTAAACGGCATGCCATTCATATATATATATATATATATATATATATATATATAAATATATACATATACATATGTGTGGATGCACCATATATACTGTATATATACCTTTTCCTTTTGGCACCTTCTTTTTGACTATTGAGCCGTAACGAGTATATTTCTCCACTGTGAGATCAATAAAATCTATCTATCCATCAATCAATCAATCAATCAATCAGTCACAAAGTATTTTCAATATATTGCTAATTATACATCACGTTTGTTTGTATTTGTAATATTACTCCACTGTCTGAAAGGAAACCCTTCGTTTCATTCGTCACTTCTTCTGAGTCAAAGCAATTAGGTGACAGGAAGGATAGAATGGGACAAAAGGAGGGTTTTCATAGATGCTAAACTGCAATGAGAGCCATGACTGAAAAACCTTGTGAGTGAAACTGCATCCTCACCTTGTCTGTGATCTTCACAAACAAACTGAAGCCCTCAGAGGATTTGAGCATCAGCCGTCCGGAGATGTTGTGGCAAAAATCTTTAGCCTTCGTGCTCGACTCCACCTCAAACACCTGAGAAAAATGATTTAACAGAGACCATAAACTATCAATTATGCATCAGTTTGGGAAACTTATAATTAAAACACTGTTTTAGTTAGGCTAGGTTACCCTAAGTAGAAAGCAAAAGTCATCCATGTGTATCATATCTGAATGATCTCTGGGACATTTTACAGTTTAATGAACCATTTTATTGACATTTCGACGCAACTCAAAATATTAGGATATTTATCCATTCAATTTTTGTTAAATGATTTGGTGTTTTATAATTATTAAGGTTCATTCAGGTTTTGAAAGTGGGGGAGAAAGACAGAAATGACTCGAAGGGATTCAGGTTTTTAAGCATCAGTATTTGATCAAGTCAAGAAAATTGTA